TTAGGCAAAGCGTCATCGAGAACCGAACGGCGAAGTTCAATATTGTCCCACAACTCTGTCTTCTGCAACTCCTCATCAAGCTTAGTAATAGCCAGACTGAGGCGATCACTGAGGACGCTGCGGAGAAGGCCGGTTTGCTCATGTTCACGCCAGATGGCCTCGAACTCGAGGGTGGCATTCTGTTTGATGACTTCCTGAACCTGCTTGACATAATCCTGGTAGAATGTGGGAACACTGCCATCTTCACGAACACACATGTTTTCGACGAACTCCTCGTCGTTGAAGGACAACGACGCAAGGACCTCTAATGACGACGAAGTCACACCACCCTTATTTGCTGATGCATCCTTAAACAGTATACAGCCGGACCTTTCGAGCCGTAGTTTACTGTCTTGTGTGATGAACAAGTTGGCACCCTCGACAATGTAGGGGATGGTGGATTTGCCGTTATGAATAAGCTTTCCTACAGTAGAAAGATCAATGGACTCCGGTCGTCCACCGCAAGGGACAAAGACATCATAAGGAAGTTCTCGGCGCAAATGGAAAGTGTTACGGAAGATCATTCCATTGTGGATGAACTCGCCATTCGGCAACTTGACGTTGCTCTCATCCACCAGAACACGGTAGCCCTGGGGCGAGAGTTTAGACAAGTCAAATTCGGAGATAGTCACGCGCTTCTTAGCAAGCCGGACCAGCTCCTCGTGGTCCAGACCATTTGGATCAACAATAACACCTGAACCATCAACGATAGCGGTGTATTTCTCATTGGCCAGAAGAATTTCGTTTGATCCCAGGTCACCATCGGGGCCACCGGTTTGCAGCTTACGAACCGTGGAGGGGTCAATCTTCAACTTCCGGTAGATACCAAGAACATATTGACGAACAGACAAGGTCGTCATGCCGTAAGTATCATGCGGGATACCGCCCAGCTTGGGACTCTTGCCTGTAAAGAATGACTTCCACCAGGGAGCTCCACGATTCCTTGCATGCTCTGTAGCCCAGTCCACCAACTCGGCCGTGTTCTCGTCGGGCCCCATGAAAAGAATCTCATCCTTTCCATGCAAGTCAACGATAGGGTCTTTGATGCCTGGGCTGACAGGAGGCAGCAGGAGATCGAGAATGCTGTCAATGTATTTCTCAAAAGCGACAGCTGCTTTGTCCTGATGGTTTACATCTAAGAGTATCACACCCTTTGCACCACCTTCGGGAATGTCTTTATTTTTGCGCTGTTGGGTGTTGGCTAAATTGTAATTTTCATCGAACAGTGAGCGAGCATTGATGCTGTAGGCTTCTTTGTTCCTGCTCTTGACGATACGAATGCCACCACGAGCGATATCCCGGAACCGTAGATGGAAGCCTCGGAACTCTGAGCTAATAACTAGGAACATGCCATAGAGACGCTGAGGGTACTCGTGTTCCGGTAGGAAATCTGGGTTGAGTCGGAAACTAAGGGCTACCTTAGTGGGCGTGAAGAAGTTGGTCTTGAGGATGGCGGCGTTGAACACGCGGAAGGCGCTCATGACCATCTCGTCGTGTTCATTGGCCACAGTGCTTGAGATGAGTTGTTTCAGCTTCGCACCATCAAGAACTTCGTCAACCTGGAGGCGCAAATAGCTCAGGGTGGGAAGAAAATCATCTTCGGCAGGACCACGTGTTTGAACGTAATGAGTGTTAGCAAAATCCAGGTAGAGCTTGTGGATAAGTTCCGGGTACTTGTTAACGATCTCTGAGATATAGTCGGATGTGAAAGTCTCGGTACGCAACCTCTTCTTGATCTTGGCTAACAATTCTGCGTGGACACTGTTATTGGAGTCCAGAACATCGGTCAGAGAGGTGTACTCAGAGCCCAAGCGATTAAGGAACTGTTGAACAAAGACCCACGCACAATGGGCATAAATGGTCTCCTGCAAGCTAAGACGGCCGACTGCGAAATGATGTTGGAACCTGTTCTGGGGGATGCAGTAGAGAAGAGAGACCTCCTTGATAATCTGGTGAACAGCTGCCTCGATAGGAGGATACTTAGCAGCGATTTCAGCATCTTTCAGTGGGCGAAGATAGAGAGATATGACCGTGATGCCGTTAGAAAAGTTCTCCAGATATTTACGAGAGCTTGTCAGGCGGTAGTAGTGGTATAGATCAGAGAGTGCACTAAATAGACCCATAGCAGAGCCCTGACGATAAGCGACGACCAGCCTTTTTTCGCGACTTTTCTCGATCTCAAACATCTCAATGACAGGACCAGATCGATTAACGGCATTCGTGATGATTTCTTGATAGATGGCCTTTGTATTTTCCGTTGCCTTTTGCAAGAATCTCTTTTCACCGATGATATCAATGTTCGTTTCATTCGGACCCGGGTTAGGGTTAACGAACTGGCACTTGTAAACAAAGTAGCACCGGAGTTGCTGGCCATCGTCCCCAGGGATTGGTGTTGGCGAACGGAAGGTCTCAACCCGATAGCTGTTACCAGGTGTGGAGCCGTTTACATATTTCTTCTCGATTCTCTGCTCATACCGAGGGCCGTCGACCGACGTGATGCCGGGCTTGCTTGTATCAATGTAGACCGCATGATCTTCAGCTTCTTTATCTAAACGGATCTCGAGCTTCTTATCATCACGAGCGTACGCTGCAACCTTGGCAGCATAGAGAGAAAGGATCTGCGTGACGATAGCATCAACGGTCTCGGTTTGGAAGTATGTATCATCAATCCCAAGCTGGTTGTAAAACCATTCGGCTTCTCCAGCGACAAATTCCGTTGGAATAAAGCCTTTGCTTTCCAGCTGGTCCATAACTAAGAAATGCAGTTAGCAGAAGAGAACCTCCAGTGCCATAAATAGCGGGTTGAAAAGCGAGGGAGACTTACCCTGTTCCATTTGCTTTTCTTTCCCTTCGAACTTGGCAGCAATATAGCCCGGATCCTCCTCTGACAAGATTCGGTGCAGGCCACCGCCGGGGAAGCCCAGATGAGTGGGTTGAGGTGACGGTTGGCGCACATTTGATCCGGCTACATTCTCAAGAAACTTGTTATGAGGATGTCTCTGAAATCCAATGGGAGTTCCAGCGCCAGATTGAGCGCCATCATTACTGCCGTAAAGCTTGGGGCCTGGGCGCACGGGTAGGGTGTTGGCGCCATTGAGGTACCCATCCGGCTGTGGGGATGAAGAAGCAGTAGAAGACACCATGGTGTTTAATTAAAGTGCTCCGGACGATGTTCAATTGAGAGAGAAGAGTACGACGCGCTGATGAAGACGTCAAGAGTTAGTCATAGGGTGGGAGAAGAGCTGTGGCGCACGATCTCGAAAAGAATGCTCATTGGAGGGGCGGGTTTGGGTAGAGATAAGAACAACTGGGGCAGGGTGCAGGGACTGGCAGCGATAGAAAAGAACATCGGGTGGACCGCGCCCGATCTCAAAACGGACGTACATACCTCAAAACGACGAGAGAAAAGTCCTCCTTGCTTGATTCTTTTTGTTTATGATTTTCCTCTATTACCTTGGATCTAATTGACCAAAAACAATAGCAAGAAAAGCTCCTTCAGCATAGAAGCTTATCGAGAAAGACGAGAAGTGAGAAGTCGCTCTACTTCTTGGTACAAGCCATGCAATCGACACGTCACCGGGGTGGGACTGTCAACAACTGGGGTATGGAGATATCAAAGATGATATGAATATGGGGCAAAGAGAAAGGAATATTTCTTATATGATCCTATCTATAATCGAAAACTCACAGGAACGGCAGCGGGCTTCAAGCGCTTATAAGCTAAACATTGATTGCTGAGATCATACCCGGCTCTATGCGATCGGCCAGGCACGGGACCGGTCCGGGGCAGTCAGTCCTGTCTGGGAAAGAGTGGATAAGAGTCTCGAATTGTTGATCTGACGCCCATCCTTGTATGAAGTGGATCCTATATGTGGATCGGGTTGATTGATGGGTTAGTGCGGTGTGGTTATTAGTCCAGCATGTAGCCTCCACGTTGCCCCAACTGACAGTAAAATGAATCCCAGTTTGACATCCCTTCTTTCTGATTTCTTTCCCTTTCCAAATACGTATCTCTATGTATCTTGATATATCTTATTGTCCTTGACTTTTCTAGAATTATCTCCTTTAAACCTTTCCATTTTTCTTTTCTTTTCTTTTCTTTTCATTTCGCTTTTTTTTTTTTTTTTTTTTTTTTTTTTTTTTTTTTTTTTTTTTTTTTTTGATCTCTGGATTTTGCCGGTACTGACAGTACCAAGGTTTTTGCCAAGTTTTAGGGGCTCTTATTCCCATTCAGGGATAGTGCTGCTGTAGCGCGAATGAGGCAAGAAGAAAAAATACCTCATCGGAAAGACGTGATTGGCTACCCAAAGCTAAAATTGGAAAAAAAAAATTGCCTCAACGTCCCAGTGTGGCTCGGCCAGCACCTGCCTTAGGCACAAGTAGTTCTACTACTACTTAATAGATTAGTGGTTGACAACAAGAAGAGAATGGCCTGAGATATTGACGATAAGTAGTATATATATAAAAGCTATCTACAGTAACACTTACCGAGTACTAGTACTAGATAATTTTCAGTTGGTGATAAGAAACATATACTCCGTAGGTAACTTAGTTAAGGGGTCTGTTAGTCAGCTGACAAAAGACGCATTGGCCCCAGGTCTTGTGGATTTATCCCCTTGTGCGTAGCTCTCCACTTAGTAGGGCTGTATACCTAGAAATGGCAATTTGGTGTGTCATGGTGGCTAGTGACCTGCAAATCATCATCGACGACTGTTGCATGCAATCGGTTCTGCATGATTCTCCTGCGTAATAACTGATTCAGAAAATGCCGCAATTTCGTAACCGATGGATTGCTAGGCAGCGTCGGTTGAGCGACGTACTTTGTGTCTGTTTACCTATACTTCTATTTGATCAACGTGCGTTTGAATGATGAAATCTTTCTGCAGGAGGCAAAAGGGAGGGAATAACTTGAGCAACATGTGGTTGATTGATACTAGTATATCATATCATATGATCAGAAGAACACAATATGTTGAATTTACTAGATTATACTCCGTAAGCAGAATGGGAAGAAAGATGCCACCTACAGAATGGGATCGAATCATGGGACCACTCAGAATCTTCGGCCGCAAAAGAAAATGGAAGGGCAAAAAAATGAAGTCACGGGTCAGAATTTTTCACGATACTGCGGGGTTAGTCGATCCCAACCATGATCCGTACCTGGATCAATGGCCTATCCAGCACTAGTGATTTGCGGGGTGAATCCGCTCAATCCAATCCCACTGCGCACCGTATTCGGTGTGGTCTCCAAGGTCCCGTTCCCATTATTAAAATGGCTCAGTTCTACCCCATGCTATTACCCCATGGAAACCTCTGTGGGCGCGGGGTTGGTTTAGGCTCTCGCCCGTCACGGTTCAGTGTCTGGACTCTTCTTCTCGGGGTCTCCACTTATCTCACTGTTGAAGGGGCAAGATGGACTTGTGAGGTAATCCCCAGCAAACCTTTATCTAATTTCTCCAACATACATCCATAGTGCCACAACGCGACCGAATCGGCAAAATTCTGGACGGTCTAGAAAGTTCGGTTATGTGATGACGTGATCAGTCACTCCAAGTAGAAGTACTTGAACTGATGATTCATACTAGTACAGGGCAAAAGGGTGAACCAATGATTGGCAGAGAACCCAATGCTCGTGCATATTATTTAACAATGACTGTTTCACCGGCATTTGCAAGAAAAGGAATTGATTATCAACATCGGCGAACTTGTATGAAGCCGAAATTATACAGGCATGCATGTGAAACATTTTTTATTCAAGACGCTGGTATTGCTCGGGACGGTTTGGGATGGTGCAATCTGACAAATGCAGAGTTCATCTGTTCAAGAGATTATGTACAATGATATCCTGGAGGCTACACTATGTCTAGGTGACTTCCTCGTCCTTCCTTTCCTTTTTTCCCCCCTTTGTTCCTGTTGGAACTGAGCAGATTACTCGACTGAAGGACCAATGAAACCACTACGAAGAATCTTGGAATCAAATGTTGTCTTTGAAAGACTGGCTTTGGTAGGGTTTGATAAGCGTAAAAAATATCAGAGATAAGAAGGTCAGGTCAAGGATTGGTCTAAACCTGTTTGTATACATCAAAGATAAGGTACTATCAACTGCCAAGGATGAAATGCATATCTACCTTAGGCAGTAGTGTAAAACTTTCATGTGGTATCCTGCTAACGAATACACCCATCATGGCTAGTGCCATTCTGATAGAACTATACAAATATGCCTGGTGATGTGGTCTTAGGAGGTATGCAGTCGTGAGAGGTATCCTTCGATTTACTCTTGATCTCTAGAAGGACGCTGATTGAACGATGCTCAACCAGGTCTAATGCTAGTGGTGCAGCTTGCGTTGTGGACAGCCTCTCTGCCTCTGCCCAGTCAGGAGTGCTTATGCAGTGAACCGACCAGGTAATTAGATAGCTAGTAAGTATAAGAGTAGAAAATATTGTAGACTTAAGCATAAAAATCACTGCTAGCTAACTCAGGGTTAGCGGGTATTTGGACAGGACTATCTCTAACGGCATGGTAATGTGTGTTGTAGGGGGTAAAGTGCAGTCAGTATAATTACTAGTAAGGAGTAGTCTTTGGCAAATGTCAAGGAATGGTCCTTAATAGTTTCGGTTAGACCTCTGACTCCCTTTGGGATGAAAACAGAGACTATCATGAAATTCTTCTTTGGGAAGTAGAAAAGGCAGAAAAATTGACACAAAGGGAAGAAGGATGAGAAAGAACCAGTAAGGAGAGGTGGGGCAGGAAACCATTTGGTTTACTCCGTAGACACAGCCCCAAGATGCTAAGATACTACAATATCATGTGTTTATTATTGGCCTTGGTAGCTGTTCATAACTAGTAGCGGTGAGCTATGAGTAAATGCAAACATCACCCGATCTACCAAATCTATGAAACTTACAGATACAAACTACTAGTCTAGAATTGCAGAAAAGTCGAACACTACTATATGAATCCACATTTGCGAATAAAGTGCATTGAAGACACTTGCGTATTGAAACATTCGCTTACTATGAATCAGATTATGCATAGTAAGAGATCCATTCTCTCACCCTCAACCGTTTTGCATAAAGGATCGATGGACTAAAGCCTAAACCCCGTCAGATCCCTAAATCTTGAATCAATTAGGCTGAAAGCATGTACTGTGCAGTAGTGATCCCTCCACTCCATTGTTTCCTTTCCCTCTCCATGCTCTCCATATTTTCCGTTCCATGCATATGTATGCTCCCCATAATGCTTCTTTACCAGGTCCACAATGTTCTGTACTTCGTTCGATCTTGTTATTTCCCCAATTCCCGCCCTTTCACCCCGTCGTTATGGCAAGTATGCCACTGGACCCGGAATAAGACATGGTGAGGTGGTAAGGTTAGTCTCTGTTTCGTCTTTTTCTGGACTCTATGATATGCTGATCATTAATGGGTAAAGGAATGAACTAACTAAACCAATAGTGAAGGGGTGATAATATATAGAGGCTGTTAAATATCTTTGTTTGCTTGATTAGTATGGTCGTGCTTACCCTTTCCCCTTTCCTCTGCGGGATAATAGTGTATATCCCCGACCTAATGTGCATAGGAGGCATAACAACGGCTTTTTTCTGACTTCGCAACTCTCATTTTAACTCTCTACTTATCCCTCAATTCTTAGTAGCTTATTTTCCGTTTCGTCACGAGTTAATTGCCTCGGTTTGATAACTGTTAGCCTACCTATTCATTACGATAGAACGTCTATACAAACTTTTGCAGTAAGTATCTACTTCATTTAGTCAAGGCCACACCACCTACTAGTACCTATCATGATATTTTTGCGCCAGGGGAGATAGTCCATATGTTAGTGTACTAATAGTTCGTGGACCTTCAGCTGCTCTTTAAATCAGTCTACAGGGAGTGTTATAGCTTCATTCTCCAGGAATCTGGATCTTGTACAGGACCCACATGAAGAGATCACAGCTTATACTTTCGTTAAGGATCTTTACCCAAGAATTTACCACATCAACTATCATCCACCCAACAACCCGCCCACACCCATGACCGAGATACAGCTGTGGTAATAAAACTAATCTGAACCATACATCAATCACTAAACAGCAGAATGACATCCCCCATCCCCCAGCCTCGCAATCAACCAACCAACCAACTATACTCACTCCGTTCACTGTTACTCAGGATATCTCGCGCGCTATCAAGGCAGCGACGTAGACGCCCAAGTCTGTCCATCTCGAACCCCGACCTCACCTGGGCCTGCAATAATCCCCTCCGCCGCCACCTCCCTCACCCGTGAGATCAAGGAACCTACTTGCCCTCTGGGGTTCGATCGAAGGTAAACGTGCTTAGTCTGAAGATATTGGGTCTCACTACCCATTTTGCTGAGAATATTTACGATGGGGATGTAGCGTAGTTTATATGTTTGTCCTCGAGCGCGAATAACTTGATTTGCTGATATCGCTCAAATTATTTTCGAATACTGGGTTTGTTTAGATAGGGAGTTTGAAATGCAGGATTTGTTTATATTTTATTTTATATTCATTCCTTCCTTTGTCCTCTTTCCTGCCCAAACTGCAATGTATGGCATACGACAGATACTACATTATGAGAGTAGCATGACAATTACCCCTAGAAAAAGTACAGGTCTTTCTCATCCTTGAATTCTGAAACAACACGATTGTATAATTTAGTGGTGAATCTGGCAAACCACTATGAAGCACATCGTATAACCGTCTCAATCGGCGGGCTCGGGCCTCGTATACCACGCATAGTAGCCTTTAGACATTTCTTAACATGTGTCAGGTGCCACGCTGCACATTGGTTACCATGCGGGCACAAACTGGTCAGTGAAGAGAAGTCACCTAGGTCGTTAGGAATGACCTGAGACCCGTTTCAACGAGTTCGTGCCAAGGCCGAAGTGATTTAGGAGCCAAAGTAATCGATCTGTTCATGTTCGTCATCGGTCAGGGGTGTGCATCTCATGTGGTATATTAAGCCCCCGCAAATTGCTTGTGTTAGATTGCTAGCTCGGAGAATATACGTGACGTAACGAAAGATATTTACCACTGGTGACCGAATTGGCAGGGTTTTTGAGGTTCATAGGATGACTGCCTTGGAGCATACTCAACGCTGTTGGAGCGATTCTTCGAACGACGCAGGATCTTGAGCACCAAGTTGATTGTAGATATTCTCCAGTTCTGCTATGGCATCAGAATTGCCTTGAAGTGCGGCATTGTTAAGCTGCTGAATCTCGGCCAATTGTTCTTCTGTCCGCGCCCAACCGCGCAACCGCTCTTCGAGATTCTGAGCCCTTTTTAGACTGAAAACGGTGCGCACAGTGTCTGTTTCCCCCCTGGCTTGCTTGATGCTCCTCAGTCTTTCTAAAAACAGAGCCTGGTTTGTTTGAGGCCCCGCTTTGCGGGTTGCCCCTCCCGTCATGTCTAGTGCATCACCTGAGTAGAGCGCATGCTGGACAGGGCCCGCACTGGAGATAAGGTTCGCTCTGCGGCCTAGAATCTTGACACTGTTAGCAGCTATGAGGCTGACGTTCTTATCAAGCTTTAATGGAACAACTCGGGCAGCTGCCGTTTCAGGTTCTGGCCCTGTAGGTTGAGGTTCTGGCTCGGGGTGCGTGAAGTGTAACTCGGTGCCAATTTGATCGGCCCAGGAGCAGCTGAAAACTTGATTTTGGTATGAGACGACGGGATTGTGGGTGTGAAGGCCTAGAATTTGTAACCCGTCTGCGGGGCTATTGTCAGACTCGGTGCTTGCCAAAGCCGACTCATTCTCATCGCTTCGGGGACGGTGGACGGAGACAGATGATAGACCGGGAGTAGCCGCAGCTGATGAAGAATCCATCGCAAGGTCCGCGCGTCGTCGAGGGGGCCGGATGGGACCATGAGAAGAGGTGAGGTCGAGGTTAAGATAGAAGGTCTATGTGCGACTTCTGGTCAGCTGGACACGAATTAGGGCGAGTGAGAGAGAGATATGCAGAGTGAAAAATTGTGATAAGACCTTGCAGATTAAAACGTACCTCCGTCTCATTTTCATCGTATTCGTACTCATAATCGGAACCCTCCTCGTCCGGTAATGTTGAGTCCATTAACATGGCGGGATCCAGGACCAATGTAGGCTCCGAGTGAGGATACATGGCGAGATTAGGTAGTCTTTCCAGAACCAATGGAGTATTCGGTACGGAGTACAAGTGGTAGTATCCATCCAAAATTACAATGGGAAGTGGTAAAGGTAGTGTGATTGGTGTGACGTGGAGGGGTTTGCTAATTACTAGTAGTAGTTGGCAAGAAATTGAATCCACGGGGGTCCGTGGGAAGATCGGCCCGCTTTTTGAGTTGTTGTACTTCGTCAGGTTCAAGTAGTTCTAAGTTCAAAATTAAGCCTCTTTTTAGTCTAGGCTAGTTAGTTAGTTAATCAAACAGGCGGTGACTGTACTAGGTATAATTGTATAGTGTACTGAGAGGTACCTAGTATTAGGACTAGTAGAATCATCGAACTTCTTGAATCAATCAACTCATTAATCTGTTTTGTAAAGAAAAAAAAAATGAAAAAGAAAAATTCATTTTCTTTTTCGAAAAGATAGGTCCCACTAATTAAGGCATCTTGTATGTACCTCCGTTTAACTACTGGATGTATTGGGCACTACTAGTACTACGTACTTCAATTCCACCCACCCATTCCTTTGTTTATCTTCCTTGAGAAGAAATGATCAACCTTTGGTGGTGACCTCATCATCTCCACCCTTGAATTTACTGTGTGCTGTTTGTTCCTTTCTTGCCTCCTCTTCCCCCCTCCCGGTTCAGCCTTATTCAACTCCAAGCAGTCCTTTTGCTGGCTGCTGCTGTTGTCTGTCTCCATTCCGATCCATATCTCCACCGAGACCATGCCAAGTAAGTAGTTTACACGACTAATTGAATATACTTGCCAACTGCTTCCGTCCCTTCCGTCCTACGTTTCCTGATTGATTCGGCAGTGCGCGGAAGCAAGGGAGTTAGTTTAGTGCTGCTGATCTGAAAAGATGCATCCGTCACCTTCCATGTTATGATCATCCATTATCTAATCCCCTTCCGTCATTCCCGGTCTGTCTCTCTTAGTGGACAATTCATTCATACCCGTCGTTCACCACCTTAGTGTCAATCCCATCCCTCTGGTCTTTTACTGCTCTCAGTAGTCATGCTATTATTCTCACTGCTGTTCTCGACCGCTGCTGACGGAGCAATAATGCCTGCGCGCTTCCCTTATAGTGTCCCTTTCTCCTTCGCCTCTGTCTCCAGGTCTGGCTGCCTGGCTTTATTGCTTCCATATCTTGTTACTGGTCATCTATAGTCCTGCCGCGGCGTGGTCTCATGCGCCTTGTTCTTTACTTTCTTCACCTCCCTCCGAAGACGCTGCCTTGAGTGCTACGGCCTTGTCTCTGCCTAGTAGCAGCGCTATTGCGGTTAGAGAGTCTGTCAACACCACCAGTGTCACCACTTTTCTACCCGCTGCTACTCATTCTAACAAGGTCGGGCTTGCTTTCCGCGATCCGTCACGTTCTAATTATTCCGACCTCGCGGCTCTACCTAACTTCCGCCAGCAGATGGTACAAAAAGCCACCGCCGCAATTGTTATCCTTTCATCACTGATCGCATACATTTCAATCAATAGCTTGATCCGGATCGTGAACCCCTCAGCTTTTATCTGGTCTGCTGAAGATAAAGACGAGGCCCGCTGGATTGCTTCCTCGCATTCGTGGTTTGATCGGAAAGCCTGCCGGTGGCTAGGGCTTTGTGGTACTGCGCATTACCGCGCGGTCCGCCCCCGTTTCGGCCAGCATAAGCTTGTCTCAGAGACACTCTCACCAGCGGAGTCTAATTCTACTTCCTGGAGGGCGTTCTGGTCGAACGGGGGCAACCTTTCGGACACCACTTGGGACGAATCAGAAAGGTCTCGTCGAGAAATTCCAGACTACATTTTCCGATATGCGCCTCTGGTCCACTTGTTTTCAGGCGAACAGTTCTGGCCTGGTGATATCGCCGAGCACCTTTATCACACAACCCCAATGCTGAATTATACACCGGTCCGCTCACAACAAGACCATCCGACCCTGCAGGATCTTGACCAATTAAATCAATTTCAAGAAGGGCACTACATATTTTTAACGAGTAATGACAACGTTGAAGATCTCCCATCCTGGATGGAAGGAGAGAAAAACATACCCGATCCTCCTGAGGATGGCGATGTGGCGCAGTCCTGGGCCGATTGGGACGGTCGAATTGATGGGAATATCCCGGGTGACACACCGGAAGAGAGAGCTAAGTGGTACGATACAAGCCAATCTGTGCAAGATAGAGAAGGTAATAGGACTCCGGATAAGCTCGGCTATTTAAATTTAGAAGACGAGCATGTTCGGGACGAACTTCGGAAACGGTATGGTGGGGAGCCCATCCGTACGGAGCGAACTGGCGGCCACAGCAATGCGCCAGCTGTGCTGATCGTAATGGACAAAGGCAACGGCGTCATCGACGCTTTTTGGTTCTATTTCTATAGCTTTAACCTGGGGAATGTAGTTCTGAATGTGCGATTTGGGAACCATGTCGGCGATTGGGAACACTGTCTCGTGCGATTCCACCACGGTAAGCCCAAAGCACTCTTCTTCAGTGCCCATAGCGCCGGCGAAGCATATAGTTACGAAGCCGTTGAAAAGATTGGCGAACGAGTAGGTCAAAGTTCCTTGAGAACATGCATTTACTATTGCCACTAACCGATATTATTAGCCGGTCATCTACTCAGCGCTAGGAACTCATGCCATGTACGCGACTCCCGGCATCCACGACTATATTCTGCCATGGGGCCTCCTTCATGATCAGACGGACCGCGGCCCGCTATGGGATCCTCTATTAAACTCCCATACATATACCTACGATTATGACAACGATACCTTGCTTGCATCCACTGTCAGCCCAGATTCACCCACAGAATGGTTCTATTACAATGGCCATTGGGGTGACAAATTTTATCCTTTGGGAGATCGTCGACAATACCGATTCGCAGGCCAATATCATTATGTGAACGGGCCCCTTGGTCCTCGGTTTAAACATCTAGATCGTCGCAAAGTGTGTCAAGGGCCTGATGAGGGGCCTTGTGTGATCAAGAACTATATCGGGGAGCACACAAGGGCCAAGCGGTGGCTTAGTACCGATAAAGGGAGCCACTGTTGAAGGATTTCTTCGGCTAACAAGGCCTAAAGGCTTGGTTCACTGCTTTTTCCTTTTTCTTCTTTGGTGATTCCATGCTATATCATAGGATATACCCCGTCTGTTTCCATGTACCTGACTGTGTAGACCCTTGACTTGATGTTAAGAGTTTGAAGCGCATGAATTACGATGGATGATGAATATACAACCACTACATTGGAGCTTGGTAGGAGTTCTCCACTGGATGGAGTTACCGATGGTCGCAATTTCTGCATTTCTTATACAAGGCGAAAGGGGGCTAGGACCGAATAGATAGCTGAGTCGATGAATAAACAATTACTATTGAATGAGTTATCTTAAATCGCTCGGCGTAGACATTAGATGCAGTCCCAAGATTGACGTCCATATAAGCCAGTTCTAATGGTCTACGGCACTTTTTGATTGACAAACGGCCACTTGGCTTGGTACGGATATTTTCTGCTTGTCACATATGGACTTGGCAGCATTGGGGTCATCATGAAGCGGTCAACAAAGATATCTCATTTCGTGAAGTCCAAGGTCTAAATTCCGAAGGCGCGGGAATCCGCATTCGACACTGATTGGACGGTCGCATACATCAAAAGTTCGGAAAGCATTCATGGAGGTCTATCTTGTTTGAAAGAATATGGATTGTGGTAATTATATATCCATTATCGGAAGAATAGATGGGATATTCAGAGAGCTATGTCAAGCAACACCAGAACAGAGAAGATCGGTATAGAGACGGAATGAAAAATCAAAGGTGGGAGGGAATAAATAGGAAAGCATGAGCAGCTGAAGGATTGACAACGCTAGCAAGACTTCATTGAACGAACACCCAAGGGACTAGCAGGAAAAGAAAATACGGTAGGAAGGGTTTGACCGAAACAAAGCAAAGGTATGAGAGCAACAGTTTGATCGGGAATCCCCAGTGTACCCACTTAAAACGCCAAATCGAACAGACATGGAGAGCTAAAAAAACAAGCCAGATAAAAAAGAATGCTCAAAGGACAAAGTCTGATGCAATGAGATAAACCCCCCAAACGAACGTCACAGCCTGGCGACGACGGAACGCCGAATCAAATCACATAAAGCATAAAACCCCAACGAAGCCCCAGACTCCCACCCTTGCAAAACTCCCTTCCCAAATTTCCCGGCAGCAAGTAGTCAAATCACCCGAGTGTAATTCTTTCAGATTCATATCAACTTCAGTGGTTGCCCGATTGAGGTAGTCTAGATAAGAGAAAGAACAAAAAGAAAAGGAAAGAAGAAAAGGAAAGAAAAGAGGAGAAAGTAAGAAAAAGGAAAGTGAATTTCATAAACCGTCATAGCGAGAGCATGGCTTCAATCAGGAAATTGCAGGGTGGTCGCCTGCTTTACGCTCTTGCGGCTCGCTTTCGTAGGCCAAATTCCTGTTCTTGAAGTTCGCGGATTAAGCGCATACTCTCAGCATCTGGCTCACCGTCTGCACCAGTCGCTCGCTCACGCTTCATATGCTTGCCGGCCTGACCAGGGGACGTTAAAGTGGCATGACGGTCAGTTTTCTTATCAGCGGTTGGCGTCTTTGCGTGTGATGATGACGGACGTGACGAAGACTTCTTCGAACCCGACGATGGACCAGGAGTAGTCCTATGCGTGCCAGTGCTCGACGCACCAAAGGATGGGCGACGTGCAGTTGGTGTGTGTACAGATGACTTCGACGGCTTGACAACATGGATCTCAGGCATATATCGATCTACATGGCGCGGTTGACGAGAAGAGTGACGAGCACTGGATGTCGGTGTTTGAAGGACTGTGGAATGCTCACCCTCGGCATCGGCATGGTCTTGGAGGACATCAGTTTCATCTGCCAAGGAAGTTGGCGGCGACACAAGTGAAACCGCCGGCTGAGGCACAGAACCTGAGTCGACCTCTTTAGCAACGACATCATCTGTCTGAAATGTAGGTGGTGATGCATATGAATTCTGCGCCACAGGCGCTTCCTTTTCTGCAGCTACCATACCTGGCTGGTGCGAAAAGCCTTGATCCACGGGCGATATATCCGGTGGTGGAATAGCGTCGAAGTTGTCTGTCTTGTATAATTGGATAGATGGTCGAGCTCCCTGTGTATCGATTGTGTCACCCTCTCGGCTGAGATGCGCCGGCTTTGTCATGGGAGAGGTGCTTTCTGGCTTCAGTCTTTTTGTTGTGGGATTAAAGCTTTCCTCGTTAATCCGGGGCCTTTTGGCAGAAGCTGCAGCTCGTGGTTTCGACCGTTCTTGAGCTTTGACAGGATCAATTCGCCCATACTCATCGTGGATACATCGCCGCTATAAAGAACCAGTTAATAAGTAATATGCACAACGGGGGTTGTGCAGCGGCATACCTTGCTCTTTCGACAATCATCACAAGCCTTGCTACGTCCTTTCTTCCCTGCATTGATCCCATCAGGGCTAATGTCATTCAGTTTATTGGTCACTGTATGCGGTGTACCCATAACAGTCGGCCCATACTTTCCAGCAGTTTCAAATCGGTCCAATCCACCATTTCCATCTTGAAGGCCTGCTTCAGATGCAATTGCTGCCAAAGAGCTCAGCGCAGATGCGGCATCATGTGTCAGGGATGATTGGCTTCCGGCGAAGACACCAACCGTCATTTGCTTCGTTGGCGTTGTGTCACTTTGTTCATCCTTATGATGGCACCGGATCCTTCGTTTGCGACAAGCATCACAGGCAACCCGCTTCGGACCTAATCCGGAACCCCGATGAATGTTTCGAGGCTTGGAAACATTTTCCTCTTTCACCCCGCTACCAGAAGAGATGAGAGGTGTAGGAACAACGACGCTTGGTGGTACCGGGGCACTACTACCAGAGACCCCATTGGAAGTTTCACGAGATTGTTCTAGGGGTCTCTGCACAGCCTGTCTCTCTGCGTACATGCGTTGGTTGTCCAGATTACGTTCTGAACGGCGACTAGGTCGACCAGCAGACTTTTTCTCTGTGAGACTGAGTTTGGCATTGCTTTCAACGACGCCAGGTCGCGTCCATTGAGCAGCTTTTTCATTACCGCGCTTCCAAGCGACCCAGATGCCGAATTTTCTAACAGTGTCAATCGGATCTCCAACACCTTTTGGGATTGATCGCTTGATTGCATTCCTACTGTCCGCCGTCACCCCTTCAACAATGTAAGAGCCAGCGATCAAAGCGGTTCGAAGAAGATACTTCGCAAGGTCTGGTAGTCCCTCCAACTCTGCTTGCGAGTAGAAGCGTGTATTATGATACGGTGATCCGAGAGGCGTTATGTTTGTCCGTTCTCCAAATTCGTAGTAGATGGGGTAATCTCGATGGAAACGATAATTCTCGTCCTGCGCGAAGGCATCCAATACGCTTTGAGGAATGGGGTCGTCTTCAAGATACTTCAAAGCTGCGTACCATTGGATTTTCTGAAAGAACGGGTATCGGAATTTCCTTGGGACCTTTGTATCCTTTTCAATCTTGGCTATTTTGATCTGCATCCCATAGTTCAGTCTTGTCAGGAAATTACCTCCGATAACTAAGCTATCCTTAGGAGTCCATACGGCATGGATCCAACCGGAGGGAATCAACATCGTGTCCCCTTCAGCAAGATCAACCCGATAACATTCCTTAGTTTGGTCCCCAAGGAAGGTAGAGTCTTGGGCAGGTGAATTACACCACTCTTCGTATTTTTTCAAGTGTTTATCCTTAGGCGGTATGAAGAAGAATGTCTTCTTGCCCTTCAGAATGTGGTAGTATACTGATGAGCCGCCGAAATCAATGTGGAAATCCGTGTAGCAGTCAGCGACGGACATAAGACAGTAAAACTGGACTTTGGGATAATCCCCAAGTGCCTTTAGATCTTCCGGCCATACTGAATCTTGTAAATCAAGATCACGCACGATCTTCGGTCGACGAATCAATTTGCCCAGTTTACTCTGCGACACCTCCAGGCTGATGACGTTCCGAACGACCTTAAATCCCGCAGTTTCATAATAGTCGGCCCATTTCTGCATCGTCCACCTTTTATCTTCGCCTTGCTGTGATTTAACGTCTATCACCTCTACCCTTTCTTCACGCCCATATAGCTCTGCAACAGCTCTGACTGTGAGGCCCTGGGGAATGACCATATCTAATTGATCTTGGCCACAGTCAAACACAGTCTCAACACCTTGAGATTCTCCGTGCGCGTGTTCCAACAGCTCGTCGAACATTTCCTGGGTAGAAGCTTCTTGGACGAGTGCATCATAGTCGGGACTGCTAGTCGAGATCGGATCCCGGGTGTTTAGATGGGCTGGTATTACAATTGGCTCTGTCATGCCATTCCCTCGCTCAAAATATTCTGCCGTGACTAGCTCTGGGCGCATGCGAGGAAAGCTTTCTGGTAGAAAGCGAATTTTGCCTTGTCGAATAGGCTCAATATAGTGGTGCTCCATCGAATCCGTAGCGGTCTTAACAAGTCCCTGGTTGAGACCAGCATAGTCGATCGCAGTACGGGCACGAGAAGACTTGCGAACAAAGGTAGTCTGTCCGTGAACCGGTCGACACCCACGGCAAATAAACTTGTCAACCGTCCGAATTTCGCGGTCATTTTTGAAACCGGCGCAGACGATATGGAACCAGCGCTTGCAGCCGTCACAGCTGATCCATGTGACATCGCCTTGTTCACCAGTGTCCATAGGTATTCGGACGAGATTACAAGCAGCACAACTTGCTTGGCCAGACTCTTCAGACTCTGTGTCGTCTTCTACCTTGGAAGGAAGGCTTCGCAATATTTGAGGCTCATCGGTGGTGGGGGGCTGCGTATCATATTGAGAATTGTTGGCCACCGGATTTGTAGAAGACCAATTGCTCTCTGCACTATTTCCTTCTTCCTGCCATATAATTGGCTGAAGGCTGGAGGAGCTTGTGTTCGGTCGCATACTATGGATGGGGGGCCGAGAAAGAACAGCCGAACCGTCGGATTGAGATCTCATCCTGGGTGGCGGAAGATTACCGTGGCCCGAAGCATTGTAAGCAGATTTATCTTCGACTAAGTCAATGTACGAAGCCCCTAAACCATCCTTAACATGACGTTTCGCTTCATTTCCATATTGACGATATGACTCGTCTATGCTCGCTCGTTTCGAGGAAGGGGCGGTATGATGGAAATTGGACGGCCTCGCAAAATTCAACAATAGCTCCGCATCTGTTTTCATGCTGTCGAAAGCTGATGGTGGGTTTAGATCTGATATTGCGCCCATACGATGCTGATGAGATGGAGAAGGATCTTTTTCCGACCGCAGGCGTTTAGCCGGACGCTCTGCGAAGTCTACGGGCTCTGACGGGAAAAGTGGCATGGTCGATGTAGAATTCTGCGACGGAGGACGGTAGGATAGAGGTGCAAAAGTAGGACTCGTCGCGAGAGCAATCGTCGCAAGGGTGTCGATCGTCGAACTTGACCTACCATGGCCGGATCTCTGATGAGACACGCTATTCGCTGTAGCATATCGACTGTTATTATGTGTGAGCTGGTCGCGATCAAACGTCGCAACTCTAGGTGCGCAGCGGTCGGCCCACGAAGCTCGAGTATCGCCGGTTGTGCAGGGAGAAATTGGCTCAACGGCGCGTCGCGGAGGCGAAGGAGTGCGATAGCGTGGCGGTCGACTGCCCGAGTGATTTAAGAAAGATGTAGCGGTAATCATATTGAAGCTGGGATATAGAGTCAAAGGGTAAAGGGCGCAGAGGTAAAACCGGAGGTGACAAGGTATTTTGCGGCAAGCGGGTAAAGCGGGGATGTAACGACCACACGGGCTATAGAGAGGCCACCGCAGGCAAAGGGAGAGTCATTCCTGGCAAAACGAACGGCGCGCACTGGATAATATAATGATATCCGAAGCGGGGTGAGATGATCGATGTTGAGTAAGAAGAGGCGTTGACGGAGAAGAGTCGCACGGCGGAACACTGGGAGGTTGAGGGGGGAAGTTCAGTCTGCCGACTAGTCGAGAGCGGCGGGAGAATGCAGCACCGAGGACGCACCGCGGGTGCGGCCAAAATTAAGAAAGACACTGCAGAAACAGCAGAGCTCTGGAGGATTAAAGGAAACTAAACGATTGGATAGCGCGCAGTGAAAGTAATTGATGGGATGAGGTGTGGGATGGAAAAGATGTGAATTGCGGCGACGGGAGGCCGAAGAGGAGAGCGCGAGTGAAGGCAAGGCGGGCGCGGCGCCGGAAGTCTGCCTCAGCCTTCAGGCCATCATCATATCTGCCTATCGTTTGCGGCCAAACGGTACTAGATAGCAGTAGATCACAGCTGGTTAGGTAGATTGTGTCTTCGACTTATACAGTGAGACGATTGCATGAGACTCTCCCAGACAGCTTGGCTCTAGACCAGTTTTGTCAACCCCTACTGCTACGAATTTTTCGTCTTTTAGAAGTGTAGATCGGTAGTGTTTCTGGTAATGCTTGTCTTCGTGAGGAACCAACAAAGTGAGGCTCCTCCAACGCCCTAGTCCTAATCAGGAAAGGCATCCCCCGTTTCCGACCTCGTGGTCATCACGGTTCAGTGACACTCTCTTCTTCCTATTCTTCTTTCTTCTTTCTTACAGAACGATCCCAGTCCCGTTGGGTATCTACTCGACACAATACATCGCCCTACCAAATTTTAGGACCATCACTGTCCCACCCGAGAATGAGCCGGAAGCTCGCCCCCGAAGCCAATCGGTAAGTTCTCACGAACAAATCTGCCCCTCCTACATTAATTTGGATTTGCCCGGTAGCGTAACTATCATATACGCGTTTGGAGCCTCATTTGTGGCTTGTTAGACTCATTCAATGTACTGACAGCGGTTAGGATTCTCTTTGTCAAGAACCTCAAGTATGTTCATCCGTCGTGATAAACTAGCCTACCGGAGTCGAGCAGTGCATGCCTAGCGTGTTTGATTAACTCGAGAGAAGGATATATGCATGACTTGAGGAGAAAAGGCTAATAAAGAGGCTGTTTGTATAGCTACAACGTAACTGCTGAGCAACTATTCGACCTTTTTGGCAAGTTCGGTCCTATCAGGTATGCTAGTTGGAAAAGAAGCATAAAAATTTTCCCATTGTTCGTCTGTAGACTAACCTTCTGTCTCTAGACAAATACGTCAGGGGATTGCGAACAACTCGAAGGGCACTGCATTTGTAGTATACGAAGACGTTCACGACGCCAAACAGGCATGCGATAAGCTCAATGGATTCAACTTCCAGAACAGATATCTCGTCGGTACGTATGGGATTGGACGTACTCGACTTAGTCGAAGTGAGGCTTGGCTGACCCTCTACCACTAGTACTATACCACCAGCCAGAGAAAATGCTCAAATCGAAAGAGGACTTGGCGGAAAGGCAAGAGAATTTGGAACGTCTTAAACAGCAGCACGGTATAGAATGACGTTACGATTCTTTTTCTTGCTTTTCTCTGTGTACCCTTTGCAGGCATCTGGCTGCGTATTATCATGGGTTGGTTGTGGGGTTTCTGGCGTTTTAGTCTTATGGGTTTCGTGACTCTTATTCATGGATACTAGTATGAGGGTGGCCGACGGGTTGAATGATACTCTCTGGCTATTGACCAGGGAAATGATACAGAATGGGATCTTTCAGGCTGGGTCAGTTCCACCATTCCGGCCGGTTATTAGCTACTATCAATATAATCGCTCTCGATCGCCGGCCACTGTGGGCTGTCGCGGTTAACCTATGAGACCAGCTTATTGTCCATCCTTAAAAGAAAAAAAAATACAATGAAACCTAAGGGACAAGTGACTGAGACGGTCTACATTCCCAATGCCTAGGGAATCGCAAACCGAACGGCTTCTCGACTCAACTGGCTGTTACGTGTGATCCATGATGTTTACCCCATGGAGTGTAGATCTAATCTGAAGATCATGCAGCCCTGCGTGATCGGACAGAGGGCTCCCCTGACAGATCCGCGTAAGCTTATTTCAGTTAGTCTAGAGGGCCTTAGGGGAGACTTGGACAGTTGGGCAACTATAATACGGGTATGTACCCACACCTTATTCGTCAGTTTTGACGGTAGGGCATGCGACTAATTCTCATGTCATGGTTGGAGCCCTTGTCAAGGTGCTATCGTCATAGGAACACCGCGGTACCAGTAATATCAAAGGTGATAAACACCCATGTTCAACCTCACCTCCACACGCCGTACAAGGCGTTTTCTTACACATTATGCACAAGTCAAGCTCGGTCCGGATCATTTATCGTGGCATAAAACATGTTGGGAGGCTTGTGTCTTCCTATTGGAGGTGCAAAATGAATCAAGTCGCCGATCGGAATCATGAGAGAAGAAGATTGAAGAAGCACAAAATCCCACCGGGGAAAGGGGGAGGGAGAATAAACTTATAGAAAAAGTGATTAGTAGACATGCAACTCTTGAAGCCTTGTATTGTGTATTGTTTCTGCCTGTGGGTTAAGGCATTAAGTATTCCCCTAAAAAGGTTAGTCCAAGTACCGCCCCACCAGTCAATTTTCTCAAGATTTTCTCGACCGAAGAGCGCTCTCTCAAACCATCTCTTCTAGCATACAGATCTGCAAGACGGCAGTGATCCTTTGCGTGAGCCACTCCTCCGTGAAAAACCAGTCCTCTTTACGAAACCATGTCTGGAGAACCTAATGCCGGTGAGTACGAGTCTTGCTCTATTTTGCATCTTGATTTGCTCTCGATCGAGCGCTTTCCAATTGTGAGCTAATGTCTCTGTCCCTTTGTAGCTTGGCCTTTGGCCGACGAGAGCCTCACCCAGAACCTCCTGGACCTTGTGCAGCAGGCTTCTCACTACCGCCAGCTGAAGAAGGGAGCAAACGAAGCAACCAAGACCCTCAATCGTGGTACCTCTGAAATCGTCATCCTTGCTGCAGACACCAACCCTCTCGCTATCCTTTTGCACATCCCCCTTCTTTGTGAAGACAAGAATACTCCGTATGTATTCGTGCCCAGCAAGCTTGCTCTGGGCCGGGCGACCGGTGTATCTCGTCCGGTGATCGCGGCTAGCATCACCACCAACGAGGCCAGCGACCTCATGGGACAGATCCGGACCATCAAGGACAAGGTTGAGAGGCTCATGATTTAAGGCATGGGTTATTTGATTGGATGGATGAGATACGGGATATCGCAGCAAATTTGATTCCTGGATTCGGTGGATTCGCATTTAAATGGAGACACCACAACAGATGTGGGCCATCCTTTCTCGATACCTCCCTTATGCGGGAGATGCTATCTTAGATAATGATGGTTTCTCCATTGATTATATGCTGGGATCATTCATTAAGATACACATGCATATCCACTTCGATCTACAACTGATCAGATATAATCACAAATTGAATACGGGTCCAGAAGGCAGGGAAAACCTAATATGAATAATAGTCGGAAACCTCTACAACGTAATTTGGCCTCTAGCCGCCTTGTAGATTATTGGAAGGATCAATGCGAAACAAATTAACAATGACCCTATCCATCAAGGGTCTAGTGAGTATCCTCGATCCAAAAATGCTACCAGTTTAGCTGCCTTAGACTAACCCAAAAGGTTTGGAACTAGTGGATAGCTCCGCCTACGGGCGGGGGCGGTGTCTCGTCCTGGCACCGCCGCTTCTCGCGCTATGTCTCTGTTCCCCATTCTCAGATAACTGTAAAAACCCGCCTGGCTGGCTCAGGCTCCTTGCTGGTAAAGGCGCACTTTTCCTGTGGTTGACATTCACACATGTCAAGTCCACCCAGTTTTCACAGCGATACTCGTCCGTATGTGCGTTAAACGGGTTTCCCCCGTTGTATAGGGAACCTTCTTTACATGAGCGGACAACTTCATATCACTCACTCTAGCTTGAACCTCCTCACACTTATTGACCCTCATTCCCCGCGATTCTACCCAACATATTTTACCTCAAAGATAGGAATAAGCCGGCCATGCCTATCTCAACGTTTACTTCGGTAGTCAGTGTGGCGATTACTATCACAGGTTTCATCAGCAGCGTTTCCGCTGGCGACTTGGACTTGGTTTCTAGCACTCTCACAACACCAATGCCGACTCCGACTTCTCAGACTATTCCTTTTTCGCTGGCAGGCCCAGATCCAAGTGGAGATAACGATAATACCGGAGAATGCCGGCTGTTAGGTCCTTTCTCTCTTCTGGTGCAAGTAGCTCTCGGAGCGTTGGCACTTTTATCCCTTGTCTATAAGAGATGGAGGGAAAGACCTCAGCGACCTTTAAAAGTGTGGGCGTTCGATGTTTCTAAGCAGGTCTTCGGATCGGCTATGCTACATCTGGCGAATTTGCTCATGTCTATGTTCTCGGCCGGTCAATTAGAGATTACGAGCGAGTACAAACCGAACCCATGTTCTTTCTACATACTAAACCTAGGGATTGATGTAAGTTCCTCGGTTTCGTACATCTATTTCTTCTTAGCCACTGGCTAATGCCTAATTGCAGACTACTCTCGGGATACCGATTCTCATTTTCATCCTCCACATTCTGAACCGCCTGGCGCTTTACACACCTCTTGCAGATCCTCCAGAATCTATTAAGTCTGGAAACTACGGTCGTCCACCACAAGCGATCTGGTGGTTCAAACAATCTATGATATACTTCGTGGGACTTTTGGGAATGAAGATATGCGTCTTCTTCCTCATTCAACTGTTGCCATTTATTGTCAAGGTGGGCGACTGGGCTCTGCGATGGACCGAGGGTAACACAGCCGTCCAAATCATCTTTGTGATGTTGCTTTTCCCGGTAATCATGAATGCGATTCAATATTACATCATCGATATATTCATCAAGAAGCCATCGCATGAAATGCTAGAAGAGAATGAGGTTGACGACGTCCTGGACGACAGACACGATCACCATCATGCCTTGTTAGCCGGGCTGGATGAGGAGGTCGCGTCAGAATCAGAAGATGACTCTGTTGGAAAGGACACTAGGAAAGTACTCGTGAGCCCTGCCCAAAAGGACGTCGTGCGCCTATATGACTCTGCCGAGTACCATCCAACAAGCGAACCGGGGCACAGTTCTGCATCATCAACATTTGCTACGCCTCACGCCGGACATGTTGATGATCAGACGTTGTCATCAGCAGATTTTGCAACACAACAAAAAGATCATGACTAGCCTATGCTTTGGAAGGGTGTTTTAAGTCGGCGTTTATGATCGGTAGTTGTCATGGTGGCATTGTTATGGTTTGGATCCATTGGTATAAGGTCGGAATTGATTGTGAATTTGTTCTATTTTGCCTCTTCTCCTTTGTCCATATTTCTGTCTTCTCTCAATGTCCAGAGAATTTGCGTTGAGTTGGTAGGTTTTCATAAACCGGTCCAGGTATCTATCTCGATCCTCGTAGGTATCAAAATGTTCTTGCCTGAAAATTGCGGCACCCTTTTCTACCGCAGAACCCACCGCCCACTTCTGCCGGATGATTGAAGAAAATTATCTCTTCAATTCTGCTGCTTGGTCTATTTTCCTTTCATTGGGAAGCCGTTTTTCTCATCCATCCTACCTTATAATAGGTCATTTACATCCTAGTAAATCCTTAAGGATCAAGTGACTTCCATAATGCCTAAAACCAGTGTCAAGCAAAAAGCACGCCAGAAATTCAAGCCGACTTCACGTTCGCCGTTCGAGAATGCTAGGGCTACTCAGGAAGACAGCGACGGAGAAATGAACAGCAACATGAGCGATGACACTGATGATATCCCTAAAAAAGATGAGGCGGAGAAGAAATTGGAAAGGCTGCTATTTGGTGACGACGAGGGGTTTCAAGGCGCATTGAAGAGCCAAAAGGAGCGCAGCCTCATAGCTCTATCAAAAGAAAGCGACGATGAGGGCTCTGACGCAGAGCATGAGGAGACTGGAGCCGAAGATCAAGAACTTGATGGCGTTGCTGATGCTGATGTACGTATACACCTCCCTCCCACCCTATCCCCCTCCCTCGTCTCCTTTCTCTCTACCAAAAGAGAAAAGAAAAGAAAACGCTGTCAAACTGTTGGTCGCGCTAATGTGATTCCTTTGTAGCTTTTCTTCCTTGATTCTGGAGCTGATCCCGTTTCCACTGACCTCGCCGAGTCCCCAGAGACACCTTCTGAAACTGAGGAAGAAGATCTAGAGGAAACTCCGGCTGTGTGGCATGATAGCGATGACGAGCTCCTAGCCGTCTCCCTAGCTAGCCAGCAGAGGTTGAGAAAATTGCGTGTCGCCGAGTCTGAGGATGTGATTCGTGGTAATGAGTATATTCGACGGCTTCGCCGCCATTATCAGCAGCTACATCCTACACCGGAATGGGCGATTCCGGGGCAGCAAAAAAGTCGTGGCGATTCCGACTCTGAGCACGCGGACGTCATGGACACTGATGATGAAGAGCAGACATCTGCACAACCTTTGGCCAAGTTACTTCAAGGTGCCGCTGATCTTACTAAACTCGAGGATGCACGTCCTGGTGGGAAAAGAAAGCTACGACAGGAAGTTATTGACATTCAAAGACTGAAGGATGTCGGGGGGGATCAGCCAGTAAGTGTGGTGTTTGTCCAAGTGTAGGACGGTGGAAATAGCTAACACTGCCCTCTAGTCATCGGTCGATTCGCTTTCTTTTCACCCCCATTATCCATTGCTATTATCCTCGGGGCCTGCGGCCACTCTTTTCTTACATCATATCGCACCCTCTGCGGCCGTTCCTAACCCTCTTCTCACGTCATTTCATATTCGCCGTACGCCTATTCACACATCTGCTTTTGCTCCCCCAACTGGTAACAAGATATTCGCTTCCGGTCGTCGGCGATACTTCCATATTTGGGACCTTAACACAGGAAAGGTTGACAAGGTCAATGGCTCTGCCGACAGAAAAGAGGAACAAAAGTCCATGGAAAGATTCAAGCTCTCCCCTTGCGGACGATATGTGGGGCTTGTTGGTACGTCGCGCAAGGGCGGTGGTCTCATCAACGTTCTAGATTCGGGTACGGCTCAATGGATCGCACAAGTTCGCGTGGATGGTCAAGGCGGCGTTGCGGACTTCTCCTGGTGGAGTGATGGTGAAGGCATGACAGTCGTCAGTAAGAATGGTGAAGTATCCGAATGGGATGGAAGTCTGAAACAAGTAGTGGCCCGCTGGATGGATGCTGGTGCGGTAGGCACGACAGTCCTTGCTCTTGGAGGACGCTCTGGACGGACACAGTTGGGAGGCGACCGTTGGATTGCAATTGGCAGTTCTAGTGGAGTGGTTAACGTCTATGATCGTCGTGAATGGGCTGCAGCATACGCAGCACAGTCTTCGGCAGATACTAACACTCCAGCTATCCCACGCAACCCCGAACCCGCACGTGCGCTTGATCAGCTGACGACGCCAATCAGTCACCTGGTGTTTGCGCCGGATGGTCAGTTCTTCGTAATGGCTAGTCGCTGGAAGCGCGATGCCTTGAGAATAGGTATGTCAGCTCTTTTACTTCCCTTTCCTCTGCTTTTAGAGACTAAACACATCCTAACCATTGCAGTTCATCTTCCATCTTGCACTGTATACCGCAACTGGCCCACGTCTAACACCCCCCTTGGACGTATTTCGTCAGTCGCCGTCTCGCCCAATTCAGAGCAGTTGGCCGTCGGCAACGAGCAGGGGCGTGTTAGGCTTTGGGAAATCCGGGGATAAGCAATCACGAGCGAGGCAAAAGATCGTGCATCATGTATATCTGTAAATAGAATACATTTGGATTAAAAACAATCTTAGTCCATTAGATTACTTTATCATGGCTTTCTAAGTCCAGAGGATATTTTCTCAGTCTCAATCGCGGGACCATCCATGCCTGGTGCCCTGGACAAGTTGTTTTTAAACAATTCGACGAAGGTTGAATTGAATACAACACTAGGGCCAATTCGTTACTCAGCATAGAGAAGCATAACCAAAAGAAATGAAAGGAAGTAGATACAACTAGAAGTCAAGAGTTCCTACAATCTCGCGGGTAGTGAGCCTGTATTACCCAACACCGGAGCTAGAGCTAACACAACCAATGGATGGCCTTCCATTAGTTCTCCAACTTGTTATTGACGGAAGAGAGGGCAAGATTAAAATGAAACCCGCACCCGGTCGCACGCCGCAAATGGGCTACTATCACTCTGCTGTGTTTTTACTAGAGCTCTTGTTGTGGGTAGTGGAGTTCTTACTGGGGTCCGCAGTGTGGCCCAGGGATATCACTAAAGCTTTCGGAAGAATCACTCTTTGCCTGGAGGTAGTGGTAGGGGTTGAATTAGTCGTGATAGAAGAGCTGCTGGTCATGGAATGGTCCTGGGAGACTGTGCTGCTCCCTGGACATAAGCTGGGCAAAATTGTGATCAGCCCTTTTGGAGGAAGGTATTGCCAACTGCTCACGTCACAATAGTAACGTGTGTTTTGGAGGAACGAAGAGCGACGCCACTGTACCGAGGACGGCATGGTGGTTGAAAGGTGCATGTATGTGGAGGGAAGAAGCGGTCACAGTATAGAACCGACTGTTAATCTACTCCAGTAGGGCAGATGAGAGTGATCTAGTCGTTTAATTCAATCTTGACCCCGAACACTGAGCCCCAGACACCACATGATTTCCGGGCAGGGTCACCGAGTTAACAGAGGCATATTTTGGTGGCATTTCAGCTGTTCAAGGGGGTTATCCTACCCTGTTGGTGAGCAAGATCACTGACCGTTTTACTGGGGATGCCTCCGTGCTGATGGCGGGTGCTATTGTATGACTTAACGCCCCATAGCTGAATTCCAACGCAAAGGAACGTCCAAGAGTGGCTATATTCTTGCTGGGTCTTGGAAATATTCCAGCTACGTCTGATGGATTCGATAACACTACTTTAGTCACGGAATCGTAGTTTGTTGAACGTAAGTTAATTCCCATATGCTGATGTGTATGATAAAATAGATATCTTTTACCTTTTTTTGATTATTCGCCTGTCCCGTATAAAAACCCCATCGGTCTATATCGTAAACCGAGCCATGTCCCTCATGTTGATATGACATCCCCTCAGAGAGAAAAAAAAGTAAAAAAAAAAAAAAAAAAGGAGGAAGTGAAGATGCATCTCCAATGATGAGCGCCCGGAGTTAGATCAAAGTTGACAAATGCCCACGTATTAGATAAGACTCTGCATATCAGCCATATCCCGGATACCGCAGCTGATGCCTGCCTTAACCCGCTTCAATGTCAATGCAGCAATAAGAGCCGCTCCAACACCAGAACCATCTTCAGCAGCCATGATGACCACCTTGTCCTTCTCGTTAGGTGCCCAGTCCAAGATCTCGCGCAGAGCCTGTGCTCCACGGGCCTTGAAGTGGGGATATTTCGTAAAGACAGAGCCGTCCGCGCCCACATGGCAAGACTCAATGTTCTTCTTCTTGCAGATCGCGGCCACACCACACGCCGACAGACGAGCTGCACGAGTGCCGATCAACTCCGCCAAGCGACGGATCATTTCCAGCTCCTGCTGGGTCGCCTTGATGTTTAGCTTGCGCTCCATGAGTTCTTCAGTTTCCTGCAAGTTCTCGTACGGATCCTCCTCAATAGCTGCGAGGAAGGACGCGTCCAGTAGATATGGTTTCCGGAGCTGGGAGGTGTCTTGACCCTGGAAAATCAGACCAGGCCTCGTCTCCAACAGATCCAGGAGGGCCAGACGGAATATTTCTCCCAGGTAAAGACCTGCAGTCATCTTCTCGAAAGCTTGCTGTCCTGGGCGAGGGGAGTCACGATCGATGATGATGTCGTACTTGGTGAGGGGCAGCACGACGTGCTCATTGTCAAAGGCACCGTACTCGCAGTTGATCGCCACGGGCATATCTGGAGGTAAGTTCTTGTGTGCAAGCTTGGGAACCGAGCCGCAGTTTTCCATGTAGGCGGCGTTGACACCAGTGCCGAAAATGCAGCCAATCTTCATATCTGAGTCAGTGTAAGAAGAGGCGATCAGGGTGCCAGTAGTGTCATTGATCAAAGCAGCAACCTTGATAGGAAGGCCCTAGACTGGAGTTAGTCTTCCAGCTCTGGTTCAGTTCCAATAAACGTACTCTTTTCCTGAGGATTGCCTCCAATGGGGGGACGACATCATGGCCCTCTACTCCGTCAATGTCGAAGCCCTTGGTCCAACGCTGGAGGACACCATGATCAATATATTCCTGGGTAGCAGGATAGGAGAAGGTGAAGCCCAATGGTAGTTTAGACAGTTTTTCATCCTCGTGGTGGGATTCAATGAACTGTTGCAAACAGTCGGCTATGTATTCCCACAGCTCCTCCGCGGTGCCCGTCTTCAACTCCTCCGGCATACGGTACTTGGACTGAGTGATGTCGAAAGCGCCCTTCTCTTCTGTTAAGGTGATCTCACAGACACGCAGGTTGGTGCCGCCCATGTCCAAAGCGAGGAAGGTTCCCTGCTCGTCGCCATCGGGGAATCCCATGACCCAGGTCACATTCATTGGCTGGAGAAATGAATTAGTCTTTTGAGTTATAAAGGGTGAAGTGAAATCTCCGGAAAGGAACTCACAATGTTCCCCCCCTCGACGCTTAGACCTAATCCGCTATCGATCAGCCTTCAACCTCCATCAGCCGAACGGACCGGTGAAAACCCACCCTTTTCGAGCTCCTTCACGAAATGGTCCACAATCTGCTTGAGTTTGGTACCGTCCACGGTAAAGATGTCCTCGAATTGCTTAATCTGCTCCAACAAGTTCTGGGGGAGCTCATGCATCGATCCTGTAGACGGGATGCCGATGATTAGAAGCCGAATCGGTAAACCCGTGGCGGGGCATTGCTGATAACAAACTCACCCTTGCGGGATGGGGGACGTTTGGGACCAATTCCGACCATTGTGGTGGTTTTAGTTGAGATAGCAAGGGGTGAGGAACAATGCGATGTGATTGATAAAAGTAAAACGCGAGTATAAGGAAAGTTAATGTTAATAGAGAAGAGAAGTGGGAGAGGGAGCGTTCGGGGAAGGTTAGAGAGTTGAATGATATCAGCGCTGGGCGTGGGGCAGCAGTTGACCCTAAAATACGCATCACCCAAGAAAATTTAAGACCAGAGCCCCGCAAGACTCACGGCCAGACAGTCAACTCAGTTGAACTCACCGGTCCTTGTTTGGGTATTTGATTGTTTCCCGTTTTGACTAAATTTACGTAGTTTGATTTGACCCCGTCCCCATTTTTATTTATTTATTATTTTTTATTTTCTTTTCTTATTCTCTTTTTTTTTTTTTTTCTAATCGCCTTAAGTTCGTTCTCAATCAGGTCATAAATAGTACCACCATACACATCCTGTATTCTGGCCGATACCCCGCAGGCATTCAAACTCTCCGCATTTCAATGTTCCCCAAAGATCGGTGAAATCCATTTCAGTGACGTATCATTTTTGACAGGTTAGGGCTACAAGGAGCTGTTGGGTACGAAGAACATCCATCGTGCGTTCTCATGGTATAATATCGTCCAATTTAATTCTGTTCATTCCCACTCTAAAAGAAGAATAATGATAATGATAATGCGTTTAATCGGACAGTCATGGGGTCAATGAAGGGATATCTCTCTCCTTTTCCCGGTAAACTCCAGGGTCAAATAAAAATAAGAATAATAATAATATAAGTAACAACCCTTGTCCGAAAGTTTACACCATGAAGCCACAAAATAAATAAATATATTACCACAACGCCATCCCACCCGAGCCACCAATGCATATGGTCATATGATTCTACGTCTAAATGGCAGATGGCTTCTTTTCTCGCGCTAAATGGGGGAATACATGTGCCAGACCTTCTTCACTCCGTCGCCGCTCCTCGGTTAGGGCCTTCTTCTCTATTCCATTACTATGCTGGTCTAGATTCTGCCGGACTCGTTGTTGGTATGCATCTGAGATACCTAAAGTGCGGTCAACCTCTTTGGTAAGGCGCTCTATTTCATCTCGCAGCCGCTCATCATTTGTCTGCGAAGGAGTCCCTTCCGCATCTCGGGCCCCCTTGTCAGGATTCGTGCTCTCCCATAGCGACTCCAGTTCCTGTTCCCATCCCAACGCTCGGGCGAATTTCCTAACGCCGGCATCACAGTCGCCTAGAAGAAGGACATCGTCCGGTCGAGATCCCAGTCCACCAACGCGCTCCATGTTAATGAGTACGCGGGGTGCCTCGTCCCGACAAAATGCTGGTAGACTAGCGAAGGGCTGCACAGAGAGACTAGTGCCCATAACAATGCAAAGGTCCGCCTGCTCTGGAAGCGTCCGATTAAGGAAGAATTCCTCCGGTAATGCTTCGCCGAAGAAAACGATATCGGGCTTCACAAGCCCATTGCATTGGGAGCACCGAGGTACCTCACCCTCATTGATGGACTGCTTCATCAGTTGTTCGGGATATTCAGCCTTGCAATCGATACAATGCTGGTTTGCAAAGCTCCCATGTGCTTCAACGATCATATCCCCAGGCACACCTGCCAGCCGCTCGAGACAGTCTATATTTTGTGTGAAATGCTTCATCAAAAGACCCTTGTCATAGAGCAACTTGACAAAGGAATGCGCAATGGTGGGTCGATATCGGCCGGGGGCCAGCTCCCGCGCCAGTGCGTAGAATGGCCTCGGATTCTCCCTGAAAAAGCTAATGTCAAACACATCCTCAGGATCCGTCAGGTCAAGATGGGCCAGATTAGCATAGATCCCCGTTTCTGGGGAGCGAAAATCGGGAATGCCCGCCGAGGTACTAATCCCTGCGCCCACCTATCGTAGACCTCGTCAGTCGGAATAGTGGGGGGAAGGGAAAATTCGGGGGGGGGGGGGGGGCAGGGCATACCATCACCACAATTTGGCAATCATCCTTTGCTTTGATATATTTAGCAACCGCCTCAAGGGTCCGAGCTTCTAGCGCGGAAGGAGGGGTATCTTCATCCACCAAGGTCGACGGTTCATTGCCCATGATGCGAGGCAAGCAGCCGGAGTTGGGCCTGGTGGGTTGATGTCGGGGTCTGCGAGGGCCGCCAATGGTGACGAAGAAAATGTGAAGAGAAGTAGACAAATCAGGAGAGTATGGGTAAATTCGTAGCTTCGCTAAGTCGCGAATGACCAAGGTTGATGATTCTCGTTTAGCCTTGCAGTGAAAAAATTGTATGGGAAAATAATCTTGAATGACGTCGAATCGACGGTTTACCCGATCTGGTCTTCTTTATCATTGCCTGAGGCACATAATATTGACAGTTCCTATATCTCATTCACCGCCTTCCTCTTCCATCCTTTAAACAACATGCCAGATTAACCCCCATTTCGCCCCGATTTCCCAGTTCCCTTCGGTCAGTCGCTCGTTCGCAACCTCCGTAGCGGACAATGCCTGAAGCTAATGTCGGCGAGGCCAATGGACATGCGGTGGCCACATCGCCTTCACTAGCCTCTAGCAAACCTCATCCAAGCTCCTCGTCTGATATCTTCAATGCCAGCTCTCTCGCGGAAATCAAAGCTACTTTATCGCACCTTCACGAACAGGAGACGTCGGTTACAGCCCGATTAGATGCCCTCGTCGCCTCTCAAAAGGATTTTTCACGTGAGCTGGGTCGATTGGATTTGCTCCGTGCGCATCTCGGCTCCCAAACCACCACCACTCGGTCTTTAAGCCATGGCATGCTCTCAGAGGCCGCGGCCACCGCAGAGAGAATATCGAGCGCAGTCCGCCGCCTGGATCTAGAACAGTCTAGGGTAAAATCTACTTTAGATGTAGTGGAACAGGTTTCTGAGCTTAAGGCATGTGTGCTGGGAGTCGCGGGCTCCATGGGTGCCCCGCAGGATTGGGAAACAGCAGCCAGTTATCTGAACCGGGCATCTAAGGTCCCGCCAGAAGTTGTTCATGGAGCTTTCGCGGCTGAAATGGTGCCCACAGCGGAAGTTCCGGACCCGCCAAATGTAACCTTGGATAATGCAGCTGAATCCCTCTGCGGTTTGTTCTTGCGCGAGTTCGACAAGGCCGTCAAGGAGAACAATGGCGCCAAGATTACCCGGTTTTTCAAGTTGTTTCCTCTTATCGGCCGCTCGGAGGTTGGCCTTGATGTCTACGGGCGTTACGTATGCCAGGGCGTGGCGTCAAGAGCGCGGTCCAACCTCAACGCTGGGGCAGGAACTCAAAGCAGAGATGGCTTCTTCTACGCTAATGTTCTGACCAAATTATTTGAACATATCGCCCAGATTGTCGATGGTCACGGGGGACTGGTAGAGCGACACTATGGTCCGAGAAAGATGAACCGAGTTATTGAGCGACTACAACTTGAGGCAGATGTCCAAGGCGGTATCATTCTCGACACCTGGGGTGATGAGAGACATGTAGATCGCAAGCTGACTGACATCAAATCATATGCATTTACTTTCCTAGTACAAAGCTTCCTCCCCCCTCAGCGCAGTGCCACACCGCGGTCGAACTCCCCTGCAAATCGGGACGGGGCTTCAACAGCTGAGGATGATGGTGTTGACATGAAAGAGATCGACGGGTTACTGAATGAAATGGCGGTTATGCTAGGTCGTTGGTCACTATATTGCCGATTCTTGGCAGAAACATGCAATGTGGGTCATAAGTGAACCTTTATAGTTTTTGCCAACTAACGTCCACAGACTCCTGGTGAAGACGACCAGTTGTTTACACCGCCTCAATTCCTGCAGGAATCAACGTTATCGAAAAAAATCAATGACCGGCTTATATCTCCATTCAACACTATGACCACCTTCTTCTTCCGTCGGACAGTTGAGAAGGCATTCCAGCTAGATGAACAGCCCACTGGCTTAACATTAAACCCGCAAAGGCCGCTGAAGGCTGACTCGCCATATATCACCTCGGCCGTCGATGACATCATGTATATAGTCAACAAGGTTCTACAACAATCACTAGCAACGTCGCAGATCACGGTAGTTACTAATGTAGTGCCGACTCTGTCTCGAGTGCTAGGGTCAGATTTCATTGGGATGACACAACGGAAAATGCGGGATGAATGCTATCCGAGAGCATCGGTACAAGGAGCTCAACCCCCAGAGCATCTGATAGTCTCTTTTCTAGTCTTAGTCAACAATCTGGATGTAGCCGTTGATTACATCCGACGCATCGTCCATTCTCATACCGAGACTAGGAAGACTATAACTGGTCCCGACGGGCAGACTGAAGAGATGGACCAATTGCATTCCCTCTTTCCTATCAATGCAAATGCCAAGCTCGCAGCGCAGACGTTGCAAGCCCTATCGTCATCTTTTGAGTCTAAGGTCAACGACCTTCTGTCCGATGGCATTCAAGTAGTGTTCAACAACGTCATCAAGCATCGTCTGCGACCCATTTTAGCAGACGCATTCCGAGATATTGATTATCAACCGGGAGACGACAATGACCCCACCAGCACTTCGTACCATGAGTACGACCGCGACGAGGATGCGGATGATAATGCCAACCGTGTGGAACTTGTCCGTCCGCGTTTTGCAGCCAGTTGGGCTGAACTTCTTCTCCCTATATCTCGTATACTTACTGCGTCTGCCTTTGACCGCTTATTAGCTATCACGGTGGCTTATCTTTCCCGACTCTTGGAAAAGCGACTCTGGTCGTATCAAGGTCGTGTCAACGCACTGGGCGCTACACGACTTGAACGAGACGTCTCCGGAATTGCTAGTGCAGCAGTGGATGTCGGTGGCACGCACGGGGCACCAGGAAGATACCGCCACCGGGAAGCATTTGCTCGCTGCATGCAGATGACGTTAATTATGGGCATGGACGACGACGAATGGGAAGATGTAATACGGGGAGGCGAGACAGCCGAAGTAGTCGAGAAGCTGAACCGCGAAGAACGGACAAGAGTTCGAGGAATGGTGAGACGACAGGGCACTCAATACTAGTTTAGCGGTAAGCTAACTCGCATCACCTTACCAACGAGTATTTCAGTATTGTATATTTTTCAAACATGTTTAAGTACTGCATATAACTTTTCAGGCATTTATATATATATATTTATATTTATTTATTTAAAAAAAAAAAAAAAAAAAAATTTAAAAGAAAAGAAAATAAATAAATATTTCGCTTTCTTTTTTCCCTCTGCTTGCTTTTCTTGCACTTTCTAGTACTCTGCTACATCGTTATAAATTGATGAATGATATATGTATAACAGAGTATGGCTGCCCAAATATTCACCACACCGCCTTCAGAAGCATACTAACAATAGCATGGTCTAGCAGACAAAAAAGCAATAAGGAACAAAGAAGTATGTGAATAGGAAGGCCTGGGTAGGGTATTTAAGCAGAGATAACTCTAGATAGTTCAGAAGAGTAGACACATCCATACTTCTTCCTCCTACTTTAATCAGTCGTACTGGAAGGTGTTCATGAACAGGTGGTCAACCAATTAGGTTAGGGTTAGGGATCCATCACGATCGACGTAACTTGATTTAAGGCTTGAATGAATAGACAATTAATGTCATTAAATAACGTTTTACTGACAAATCTATGCATGTGGTATCGGGAAAGATAGAAATCCCCCAAGCAAGCTCTAATTATATACAGATGGAAAAACACGCTCATATCAATCCTAAACGCCGGTTCCAACCAACCCCAGACCACAGGTATCAAAATACAAGAGAAAATTCTGGCTCAGCCAAAACGGTTATAGCAAAGAAACGCACGCTGAATATCACAGAAAACGCAAAATCATAGCATGGAATAGATCCAAAGTCCCGGCACATTACTGTGTTTTCTCATCCTCCTCGACACTGGTCGGTATTGATCCCTCGTGGGCGGGATGTCGTTCGGCAACTTGACGTGGGGCGGGCGCCATTGGTGGCGCAGGTGCCGGTGCAATCTTGATTTCCTGGATGCCGGAGTCGCCTTCGCTGCAACCGCGACTGTCAATGCCAATGGGGGTATGGCCGTCAAGCATCATTTCGCTGTGTTCCCCAATACCGTACCGTGCAGCGGCGGGGATATGGTGGCCGTCTTCGAGCTGGTCGTGTTTCTGAGGGGTCCATGCAAGATAGTCACGACGGACTTCGACGTAGTCGTAGGCGAACTCGCCAAGCTGGTCATCGTCCATACCAAGCAACTCGGCTTCCTCAGAAGCGCGCAGCTTCAGACCGGGAATTGCATTGATGGCGTAGGCAATGATGGCAGACACAACGAAAGCATAGGCGGCCGAGGCGACAATGAAAGCGATTTGAATGTAGAGCTGCTTGTAATTGTGGATCAGCCATCCACCCATGCCGCTACCAGTGTTGACTCCGTCCAGTCCTACGATCGCGTCGTCGGCGAAAAGCGCGTTGAAGATCAGACCGACAATACCCGCAATACCGTGCTCAGCTAACACATCCATGGAATCGTCGATACGAATCCAGTACTTCACTATAGATCCAGTCAGTCCGTTATTGTTCGGTTAGAACATTCAAAACAAAGCTTACCCTTGGTGGAGTAGTTGCAAACAATACCAGTGACTATACCCAAAATCACACTAGCCCAAGGGGTAATGAAGCCGGATGCCGGGGTAGCTGCAACCAGGCCTGAGATGGTCCCAGAGCACCAACCAACCATGGACCATTTCCTCGCTAAGCGCCAATCGAGAAGGACCCAGCTAATGGCCCCAAAAGCCGCAGTCAGGTTGGTATTCCAGCACGCCATGGTGGCACGGAGATTGGCTCCAAAGGCCGAGCCACCGTTAAATCCAAGCCACCCAAACCACAGGAAAACGGTTCCAAGGAGAATGAGAGAGACGTTGTGAGGGCGGAAGTTCAACATCATACGCTCCTGGCGACGACCGAGAACCATTGAATAGGCAAGTGCGGAAAAACCGGAGCCAATCTCGACCGGACCACCACCTGCATAATCCAATACACCATAGTTCATTGCCCAGCCATTCACATTCCACACCCAGCAAGCCAAAGGACAGTATACGATCGTAGCCCAGACGAACACAAACACCATAGCTGGGAGCAAGCGTCCACGTTCGGCAACAGCTCCCATGATAATCGCAGCAGTGACACCACAGAATTGCATCTAATGAACACCTCGACGTCAGTCATCTTCACTCCATATCGATAGGCCTAGGAACCAACCTGATAGAAGGCATAGAGGAGATTGGGCACGAGAACAGAACCGGGACTTGGATCGGCCAAGGTCTTCATCAGGCCGAAGTTACGAAGGTTGCCAATGTATCCGTTGGTGGCCGTGGGCGAGAATGCAAGCGAATAGCCCCAGAAATACCACTGGAACGTGACGACGGAGAAAGAGGCCATACAGGCCCAGATCATACTCAGGGCTGATTTACGACGGGCAAGACCGGAATAAAGGAAACCGAGACCTGGGATCATGACCATGACCATGGCGGAAGCCACGATAATGTATGCTTGATCACCGGATTGAAACCACTTGTTCACATTCTCCACTCCTAGCAAGATAATTAGTCTTAACGGACACGGAAAAAGCCGGATATTCGTCAATTAAAACATACTGGAGTCACCACCCAGCTCATTGGTCGCCAGCGAGTCATAGTTAGATGGGGCTCCAGTCCAGTTGTAAGACGCATAGTCAGGGACGAAAGGCGCCTTGATGTCCGACATGGTATATAAAAGTCAATTGTAGTCCTATATGAAATCTCAAATTCAGGCACGCGGTGCCTATTATTTCTCGTAGCAGCGCCACCGCCTGGGAGCTGACAGATGGCAGGTGGTGGGTGTTGATGGGAAAGAGGCAGGAATACAAAAAGCTCCAGTTGTGCGAAGGACGAGGAACGAAGCAGGTGACTCTTGTGTTGTGCCTGTCAGTCGAGTGTCTCACCTTCTCTCTTTGGAGGAATGCAGGGAAAGAATGGAAAAGAGAGAGAGGAACTCCGCCAGGCTGTGTATGTGTGTGGAGAAAAAGAACCGCCACGGGGGCGGAGATGTTGTAGTATATAAAAGCAGGCTGAGAGTTTCTGGAAAGATACGGCCGGTGGGTCGGCAAGTGGACGGGACAAATTTGCGTTTGCAAATGTGAACGAGTCAATTGAAAGATAAGTCCAGGCCTACAGTGAGCAGGTCACCACTAGGGCGCGATAATTGATCGGCATGGATTCCAAGGCCAAGGGTAAGTGGGGACTGTGGGAAGAAGAAATGGACCTTTATTAGTTATGCCCAATCAATCCATCAGTCAGTCAATCGCGTAAGACTTGTTGCAAACTCTGTTGAGACGGTGTTGATAAGTTGGAGGATGTAGACAGATAGTGTTGCTTATACGGGAACCGAGTCAATCAGAAAAGATATTAAAAAATAAAAAAAAAAAATAAAAATAAAAAAGGCAAAGGACAAGAATCCTTGAGCAACCTAGCGAGGGAGGCGCGGATAAAGGGAAAAGGCAAATGATAGATTGGGCGAGGGATTAAAAAAAAAATAAAATAATAATAATAATAAAATAAAAATGCCAAATAGTCAGAGATAACAAGATGTGAGAAATCGAATAGAATAAAATAAACTCAAGCTTACAGTCATCGACGGGAATCCTCAGAAATCTCCAATCAAATCACCCCCCTTTCATGAGTATGGGAATCAGAGCTGGAACACCAGTCTCTTGGTCAATAACTTTTTTTTTTCTTCAAGCTGTCCATCTTCATCTTATTCCATTGCATCTTCTGGTGCAAATTCAACATCACTTCATGAGCCATCGGACACTCAGTGGCAAATGGGGAACTTGTCTTTTTTTTTTTTTTCCTTCGCCCAGGCAAAACGTGGCAAAATGTATAAACATACTCCGTAGTACCGACTCACTGTTAGTTAGTTGATTAGTTCCTTTGGTACCCTAGGTACTAATGAGTAGTAGTACAAAGTAGTCTCCTAATGTCTTTTTTCTCTTCCTCCCCCCACGGGTAATCGTCAGGATCGTTGACAACTTCTATTATCCTGATCCACCATGAGTTCATATCATAACCAAAATGAACCGCATTTCCTGATCAATAAGCGTCCCCCTCCCCTTCAGCCTAATAATCTCACTGAGTCTCTAACAGGGGACTTGGCATTGGTCCTTTATAGAGTTTGGCCGAGACCGAAATAGGAATTGCGAGAGAGATGTGATGATGCTGAGATGAAACCAAGCGATGCGGAGCTGAACGCTCCGGGGAGAGGCGGAGCAACTTCTGCTCAGAGGATCCTAGAGAATGAATGGGCTCTGGGTGTTTTATTTATACTTGTAGACCGGATGGTTTATACACCACGAGATGCTGCATATATCTATCTATCTATCCGATCCTGCCTTTCTCCATTTCCTCCAGTTATCACTGATAAAGTCCAGGTCTTTAAGGGTCTGGGTTATATCCATTCGCCCTGGAATGCCTTGACGCCCAATCCTCTGGTTGGTATCTGACGAAGGGATCCATCCGCCAGTCGTGAGCGGAGCCTAAGGAAAGACAAAAAAAAAAAATACAGGGCGGCCCTTATCATGCCCGTTTCTCTCAGCTCATAGTTATCTCCCGAATGATTGGCTATGAGGTCCCGATAAGGTCCTGGACGCCACCCTCCCGCCATGTGGGGCCTCTGCATCCGGTTCCGGCCTAGTCTTGGCTCTGCAGTCTCCATCGCACTGATAACATCCACTTTCGGCCAATGACCGTTCGGTCGGTTCCTCGACAGGCTCCCTCAATCACCCGAGTTCACTCGGGAATTTCAGGAGCGATGCTTCGCCGACTACCATCCCGAACCGAATAAGAACTTCCGGAGAGATCGTTATCTACTACGTAGTATCTTACTGGAGGCTTGGCAGCGAGAAGATACGGGAGATAGGAAGTCACCCAGGCTTAGATAGTATTCCACACGAAGTATCCTGTGGGGCTTTCTTAGCTATTTCTTTTTTGTTTATTTTATGTCTTCATATATATTATGGAAGAGATTCGTAATTAAATGATTGGGAGATGGTATGTACGGAGTACATCCATACCATTTTACATCATTATTGGTGTAGCCCTAAAGCCTAATCCGCTCCTCCTTTCGTGACAGTACCGACTACCGATATTGCGGCGCGTGTGCTTTGTGTGTGTGGGGAGAGGGGGGCGCGAGTTCAGCCTCCCGACTCAAGCTCAATCCAGTGATAGGTCTGTTACCCTACGGGCTCCGGTCAGCTAGTCTTAGCTTTCCCACTATCTATGTAGCTTAAATAATTAGCACAACCCCATTTTGCAGCGACTAACGGCCAAACCAAACACCCTATCCGCCCCTCGTTCTGACGAACTCGCACATGAGTCTCCTTTCGGCGCCTAAAATTCGTACTACCGGGTTCCATTTTCGGATGGTCATCGCTTAGAAATCCTGTATACCCCATGGGGGTCCAACAGGCCAGGCAATAGTTGAGAACGGTGGGGCTACCCTATATGGACTACTTATCTTAGACGCATATGATCAGAACGGGCAATGTGCTCATCATCCATTACTTGCTTGTATCAACTGCTCACGCCCCTTCCTGTCAACTAAGTTTGGTGTATCCCACGATATGATGCCCTTGTAGTCAATGATTTACCCTATGAATGCCCGTGGGAAACCAGAGATCGCTACCAACTACTAGGTAGCCCCCTTGTTCCACTCCTTGCACAATGCGTGTGTCGAAGCTGCAATGCAGCTGTATAAAGTGGGGGGGAGGGGGATTTGGTAGTAGTGCCTCTGCTGCTACCTGAGGGATATATGCACCAGATAGACCCTACCTGCCTACTCCTCCTCTTACTGGCGGGTTGGCAGTGTCCGTGTAACAGGGCGAGAGGGTCCGTGGAAACTCTCATCTTAGCAGGCTAGCTTTTTAATTTTATCATCGCCCAGTGTCTGAGACTCGTGTGTGGGACCCATGATATACATAGTAAAACCTATGCGTTGTTGGGAATATATATTTGCCGCAGAGCCACTATGCTAGGCGGAATATAGCGTGTAACACGATAGGATTAAGAGCTCACCATACACCTAGTTGTAAATTTTAGGGTGCTGATTAGTTCTCATGCATATAGTGTTCTTCTTTTTGGCTAAACTATTAATGATGGACTGACCATGTAAGCGGATGTTAACCATTGATCAATTTGTTTGAGTTAAATAACACAAGAACTGAAGGCAGCCTTATCGCTGGCACAATACGAATCAAAGAGATTGCAGGTGAGCCCTGTGTCGGTCAATTACTTATTATTTATTTATGTATTTTTTATTGTCCTGCCTCAAATAGACATATACATCGAATGCATTTCTCATCCTGTACTTGTCCCCACCTCCCGCCTCCCCCCATTCCTAATCAACACCTTTCCCAATACACTCGGTTCCAAGAACCAGTTACATCAACTGGCAGCTGTTACAATATTAACAATATTCAGATGTCTCCCAGAAATAGTAATTCTCTATGATGTCTCCTTTATACAACTAGTGCAAAAGCATATATCAGCCCGGCCCTCAGACATTTACGCTGTATCCCACCCCAACGGCCCGCCGCCGTTTCACCGATTGATAATATTTCCGGGCCTCGTCTACCCAAAACACTGAACTCGAAATACACAATAGCTTGAATAAATGCGCCAGGTTGAGTGGCTCCGTCTGGAAGACTCGCTGCAGGAAAGGCAGATAGATCACGCTTGCTTGCCCGGCAAGTGATCCGAGTACGGCGTAATTGAACATCTTGTTCCCGAATAGGGAGATCTCACCGCGAAGCACTGACTTGCCCTCGCTGCGGCAGGTCAAGGCGTTGAACATGTCAAACAGCACAAAGCAGGTGAAAGTCATGGTTGTGTCATGGGCGGTTACGACGCGGGAGCGTTTGCCCGGGTTCAGCTCATCGTCGACATCGCCCATTTCGTAGACGTAAATGGCAAGCGTGCCTAGCATAATCATCAATGCCGAAGTTAGCACCCGTTGAATGAGAGGTTTCGTGAGAACCCGGGCCGTTCTGGGTCGTGGGGGTCGTCCCATGATTGATGGATCAACGGGCTCTACACCCAAGGACTGCGCTGGAGGGCCATCCATAAGAATATCTGGTGATGATTGTCAGCTATCAGCTGTCAAATGCTCGGAGTTGACATTAACTTACTGATCCATAGGATCTGCATCGGATTCAGCGGGTTCTTGAAGCCAAGAGTAGTGCTTAACAATACAAGACTCAATGCAGCAACGCTGGTGCTTAGCTGGAATGTAATGAAGTTCTGGATATTATAAAAGATCCCCTTGCCCTGTTCAATGGCTCGCAAGATTGTGGAGAAATCATCGTCTGTGAGGATCATGTCTGCTGCCTCCTTGGCAACGTCCGTGCCCAATTTACCCATCGAGATACCAATATCTGCTTTCTTGAGGGCTGGCGCATCATTTACACCATCACCCGTCATAGCCACCACATCTCCTCGGGACTGCAAAGCGTGTACAATTTTCATCTTGTGGTCAGGGCTCGTGCGGGCGAAAATGGAGGTGGAGGAAATGGCCTGCGCCAACTCCGTGGTGCTCATACGGTCGATTTCCTCACCAGTAAGGACAGGTCGCGAACCGGCTATATCACTGATTGGCATTCCCAATTTCTTTGCAATTGCAACTGCTGTGGTCTCAGCATCTCCGGTGATCATGATGATGCGTACTCCTCCAGCCATAAGGCGCCTGATGGATTTGTGAACATCCTTACGGGGAGGGTCGTTCATCCCCACAAGTCCTGCAAAGACCAACCCGGTATATCGATCATCCTCTTCACCCGGGGTAGTTCTAGAAACAGGAGTGCCTGTCCTACTGCCAAAAGGCCGCCCTTTTGATGTATCCCGCACTGCTCCACTGGCGAAAGCGAGCACCCTTAAGCCTTCTGATGCCATGTGCTCAGCAGCCTGCCTCACTGTTTGACGTCGCGGCTCATCTAGTATAACTTCCCGTCCATCCTTTGTAAGATACGTATCACAACGCTTTAGAACCTGCTCGAGAGCACCTTTAATGTAGGCCATGTTGCTTGACTCGCCAGTGCCATTGCCAATAATCACACCCATCCATTTGCGCTCAGAGCTGAATGGAGTCTCGGTGACGCGAGCGCTGATCCGGTCGCGCACATCATCCTCCCCGAAAGTGTCCAACAAATCCAGGATAGCAACGTCGGTGGGCTGGCCAACCCACCTACTCCTAATGGTTCCCGGAGCCCTATCATCTGTGGAAGACAACACTGCAGCAGAAGATGCGCTGGCTGGTGAATTTGCATGCACGCGCGAAAGTCTAGCGTTATTAGCGATATTACCGACACGAAGAACGGTCCGAGCTGCAGGCCCAGGCGTCAGTGAGCTAATATCGTTGTGTACCTCAAATGGTTCCGGACAGTCAAAATGCCACATCTTTGTGACTGTCATATGATTGAGCGTTAAGGTCCCCGTCTTATCACTGCATACAACATTTACAGAGCCGAGAGTCTCAACGCTGGGGAGTCTTCGCATGATGGCCCCCCTCTTGGCCATGCGCAGCACGCCTAAAGCAAGAGTAACCGTCACGATAATGGGAAGACCTTCTGGAATCGCAGCGACTGCAAGCGAGACACCAATGGTGAACATATCGAGGAGCTTCCGGCCTTGTATCAACCCTATTACTACAATCAATCCGATGACGCCAAAGGAGACATAGCTCAATTCTTGCCCAAGACGGTCCATCGACAATTGAAGCGGGGTGCGTGGACTCTCAATTTCCTGCAAAGAAGCTGAAATACTGCCAAATTCAGTCTTTGCACCCGTTCCTATGACAATACCCTGTCCATAGCCCGACCGAACCAAAGTTCCCATAAATGCGATGTTGTGCTGCTCATTTAAGCGGATATCAGCGCCCACAGCGCCACTGGCTGGGGCGTCGTAGAATGGGGATCGGGGCGGGGTGACAATCTTGGTGGTCAGAGCCTTCGGGCCGCGAATTGCGTCAGGCGATTTAGCAACAGGCTCATTCTCACCAGTCAGGTTTGATTCATCGATGGTCA